AGCCACTGTGGAAGACAGTATGGAGGTTCCTCCAAAAACTAAAAATGGAACTACCATATGATCCAGCAATTTCACTCCTGGGTATATATCCAGAAAAAAGGAAAACACTAATTCAAAAACACACCCTACCGTTCATAGCAGCATTATTTACAATAGCCAAGATATGGAAGCAACCCAAGTGTTCATCAACAGATGAATGGATAAAGAAGGTGTGATTACATATATATATGTATATATACACACACAATGGAACACACACACATATACACAATGGAATACTACTTAGCCATTAAAAAGAATTAAATTCTACATTTGCAACAATGTGGATGGACCTACAGAACATTATACTTAGTGAAATAAGTCAGAGAAAGAGGACTATTACATGATATCACTTACATGTAGAATCTAAAAAATAATACAAATGAATTTATATGCAAAACATAAATAGACTCCCAGATACAAAGAACAAAGTAGCAGTTACCAGTGCGGAGAGGGGAGGGGCGAATTAGATATGGAATTAAGAGATACAAACTATTGTGCATAAAATAGATAAGCAAAAAGGATATATTGCATAACCCAGTAAATTATAGCCATTATCTTGTAATAACTTCTATTGCAATGGTCTATAAAAATATCAAATTACAATGCTGTACACCTAAAATTAACACAAGTCTAAATCAACTATACTTCAATTGTAAAAATCCCTATGAAATAGTGCTACGTTCATCATTTTGCAGATGAAGAAACTGAGCACAGAGATTTAGTAACATGACAAACGTCCAACAGCCACTAATTGGCAGTCTAAAATTTAAAAGTCGTGTGATGTTAGAAGTTTAACAACCAACTCTCTAGAAAGAAAAGAAGGGGAAAAAGAATAAATCAAGCCTGATTTGCAGCCAGGCTGGCCTTGGTGAGTCAAAGTCCAAGTTGCTGAGCCCATGCATAGCATCCATCCCAGCCACCAAAGCCACGTTTTCCTGAGTCCACTGGACAATGCTAGTGGTGGCTGGTGAAAGAGGCCAACAGGTATCCACAGAATGGATCATCCTATCCACTTGATTATTAAAATGCTCCTCTGCAGGAAGACTGTGATTCTTCAAAATTAAAAACATTTGTGCTTTAAAGGACACCACCAAAAAAGTAAAAAGGCAACCTACAGAATGGGGCTGCCAGAAGTATTTGCAAATGATAAATGTGATAAGGGACATTTGTCTACAATATATAAAGAACTCTTTACAACTCATTAACAAAGAGACAACTAACCAAATGAAAAAATGGGTAAAGGATCCAAATACACATTTCTCCAAAGATATACAAATGTCCATTAAGCACAGGAAAAGAGACTCAGCATTAGTGGTCATCAGGAAAATGCAAATCAAAAACACAATGAGATACCACTCCACACCCACTAGAATGGCTATAACCAAAAGCACAGATAATAACGTGTTGTCAAGGATGAGGAGACAATGGAACCCTCATTCACTGCTGGTGGGAAAGCAAAATGGTGCAGCTACTTTGGAAACCAATCTGGCAGTTCCTCAAAAGGTTAAACACAGACTTAACACATAACCCAGCAATTCTATTCCAAAGTATATACCTAAGAGAAATGAAAATCTATTTCCACATAAAATCTTATTAAAAAATGTTTATAGCAACACTGTTTATAATAGCCAAAAAGCGGGGGGAAACCTAAATGGGCAAACTCAAATGATGAATAGATAAACAAAATGTGGTATAAATGGAATATTACTCAGCCATAAAAAGAAATGAAGTATTGATACATGCTGCAATATGGATGAACATTGAACGTATTATGTCAAATAAAAGGAGCCAGTTATAAAAGACCACATATTATATGACAACATTTATATGAAATGTCCAGAACAGGTAAACCCACAGAGCCAGAAAGCAGAGCAGTGGTTGTCTAGGGTTGGGGGGATGAGGAGAATGAGGAGTGATGGCTAAAGGGTTAAGTATTTCTTTTTGGAATGAAGAGAATGTTTTAAAAGTGACTGTGGTGATGGTAGCACAACTCTGTGAATACACTAAAAAACACTGAATTGTTCACTTCAAATGGGTGAATTGTATGGTATGTAAATTATATCTCAAAGAGTCTATTAAAAAATTAAAAGAAGCAACAATAGATTGAGAGTAAGAGAGAGAGTCCCCTACCTGCGTCTAAAGCCCAGAAGTCCACACAGTAACTCTCCAAGCATTGCCCTGCCCGGTGGTCCCAGCAACGCTGTGGTGAAGGGACTACCCCCTTTTTAAAGATATTACAGTTGTGTGTGACAAACCCTATTTCCAAAAGGAAAGGAGGAAACCAGCTTAGGTCCCTACCTTTGCCAGGCTCTTCACATCATCTCCTTTAATCCTTGAAATACCCTGTAAAGAAAGTATTAATGCCCCACTTTATACATAAGGAAACTCAAGCTCAGAGAAGTGTAAGCCCTATGTCCTAAGACACACAGCTACAACGTGACAAAGCAGGATTTGAACCCAATTCCATTGCTGCAGCCCTTCCCTCTGTGCCACCCCCGGTGCCCAGGACCCGAGTTCTATGTCCCAGCTGCTGAGTGTCTGCCGGCACTCTGGCCCCCGCCCCAGCCCCACGCTGCTGCTCAGTGCGTGCTTCCTGCCCACTTCTCTCTCCAGCCAGCCTGTCTCCATCTGTACACAGGGAACAAAGAGCTAGCCTTTGCATTGCAGCCAGTTGGCCTGATTAGCTGGGGGAAGAAATTCTGCTGCCAGAGAAGCCTGCCTGAGCCTAAGGAAGCCCTGGGGGCCCCAGAGGAAAGGGGAAAAAAAAACCCACTCACCATTGCAAAAGAGCCAGACCAGAGAGCCTCTGCCCTGCCTGGGGAGGGAGCCCCTGAGAGGGCTGGGGAGGGATCCGTTTTCCCATGGGAACTCATGGCTAGAATCCCCATCGTGGAGCAGAAGGCTCCACAGTAGTATAGCAATACAACAGGGACATTGTTGAGTGGGACAGTCAGGAGTTTTGGCCTGTGCTAGGAGCTCAGACACTGGACTTCCAAACCAGTCCAGGCGCTCCTTCCCAAAACTCACCCCTTCCTGGAAGATGGTCCCAGCAGGTTTGGGATGATCCCCTGGTTCTCGTAACCCCTCCTCCCCGTTGGCTAGGGTCTGAGCTGGGAGAAGGGGCTTTCCCTAGGAAGGGAGCTGGGCCAGGAGGAAGGTGGAGATGTAGAAGATGGGGCTGGGGATGGGACTGAATTGCCACGGCACTACTGTCTCACCTGCCCGCCCAGCCCTTGAGGGCAGGGCTTCCCTGCTTGGCCCAGTCCAATAGGACCCTGGGCCAGCCTAGTGGGGTGAGGCCAGTTACTACTGGGTGGAGCTGGCTCCTCATAAAGAGAGGGAGAGTTGTCCCCAGCCCAGCATAACCGTAAGGCCGTGGTCAAGATGAGAGGTAAGTGGGGTTCCTCCCCTGGGTCTGAGAGAGAGGCACCTGAGGAAGGAGGTGTTGGACCCTGAAGCAGGGAGAGGAGCTAGACTGGGGAGTGGGGATGGGCCGGGGGTATTGAGATGGGCCCAAGGGAGAGTCTGGGCAGAGCGTCATGCCAGGGGAGGGATGGCGGGGACTGAGACGGGACGGGAGTTAGGTCAGGGGCCATAAACAGGTCAAGGTGTTGAAAGTGAGTCAGGAGAATGGATACAGGTCTGGGGAATGAGTCTGCGGCTTGGGCCATGCAAGGCGAAGGACGTGGGGACTGAGACGAGAAAGGTGGTAGCTCAGGGAGGCGGGAACACTTGTCAGGGGTGGAGAATGGGCTCGGGAGGTTGAGGTGGGCCTGGTGGGGGCTGCAGGGAGGCTCGGGCCTTTCTCCCATGAGGCATAGTTACCCCCCTCCCCTTTTCTGGGGAGTGACCCCTGCAGAAGGCCCCTCTGGCACTGGGAAGGGCCTGCCCTGCGAACCAGCTGGGTCCCTGCCCCTCCTCAGTGGGTGGAAGATCTCTTTTCCTCGGAAAGCTTCAGTTGTCCTGCCTGTGCAAAGACTGGACTGAGGAGGTTCTCACCTGCTCCAAAACCCAGGGCTAGCGCAAGGGGGCTCAGTGTGTCACAGCTCCAGGCTCTTCCCCTTTAGAGCAGGTGGCACTGAGGAAACCACACAGTCTCTTGTTTCAGATGCTTAGATGAACTTCTCTGTACATCAGAGCAGTTAAATGTAGAGAAGAAAACCAAGTCACTCGGGGCTTATTGTACGTTATATATTAACTATGGTTTCTGATCTTGACTGCACACTAGAAAACCTGGAGGGTTTTGAAAATCTAATGTGAGACCGGAGAAGAACAACAGGACTGCCAGGTTCCCGCAGGGCACCAGCAGTCACGGGGAAACTGGGCGTGATTCCCCCCTCCCTTCCCCTGCAGAGAACTGTGCTATACAAATGCACGCACACACATCCTCTCACAAATGCATCCATTTCTGAGGAACACAGACACCCTGAGGCTCCCCCACCCACCCTCGTGCTCAAATACACACACAGAAGCAAACACAAGAGGACCAGCAACCACTCTTTCAAACTCAAGCAAACGCGTACGTATCATCCTCACGCCTCCAAACCCAGGCCAGCACACACCCATTTCTACAGCCCCTCTCGCTTTCCCTTACACATCCACCCAGACATCTACTCAGGTACCCACACTGTCCTTCACATAAAATCACAGATAACGCACGGTTCTACAGGGCAACCATCACAAACTCACAATCACAGCCACTGTATCACAGACAAGCTCACACACACTCACCATCAGAGGCAGGCATGTTTACACTCCAGTACGAAGTTGCACACACTCATGAGTTTCCAATCGCGTGCACACGTGTGAACTTGTAGTCCACATTTGCAATCACACAACTAATACGAGCATAGTTCACATCTACATTCAGACCCCACACAACGCAGTCACCCATGTACAGACACAATCACAAACACACGTATTCATTAACAACCATACATTCAACAGACAGTGCCTGACCTTATCACTCCCACTCATTCACACAGCCAAGCTCACACCAGATAGGGCAGGGTACAGAGCCCCAGCTTTCTGCAGCCCCCATCCCTTTCTCTGCCCCAGGGATCCTGATCTTGGGGCTCCTGTTGGCTACTCCCAGCTGCCTTGGCTACCCTGAAGACTTGATCAGGTGCTTCCAGGACCCCGAATATGAGTCTATCTGTGTCACAGCCCAGGAGGGCCTCCACACCTCCCCGCTGCCGAAGCGCGTGGTGGTGGTGGGAGCTGGCATGTCAGGGCTGACGGCGGCCAAGGCCCTGCAGGATGCGGGCCACCAGGTGAGCCGGCCTTGGAGGGGCCTCAGTCATTTGCCTCCAGTTTGCTTCATTAGGAGGAAAAAGAAATGGAATGGGGTTACAACCAATATTTACGCAACTGCGCAGAACTCATCAGGGCTCTTAGCCCTTTGTCACTGTCCCTCAAAAATCTGGGTACCCCTGAGACCAAACTGCAACTTGGGTTCTTTTGGAAATAAAAGTGGAGAAGGGCTCTGCTAACCAGAAAGGCCGAGAGGTGCTCTGAGCCCTGCAGCTGTGGGGCTCTTCTGCCTCACTCACATTACTCAGGGCCCTCCGGGAGAAGTCCACCCCTTCCCCAGTTTGGTTATCCTGCACATTCAGAGACCTACTGCTGGGAAATCCAGACTAGAGTCTGTGGCTTGTGGGGGTGGAGTAGATGATGGGAGAAGGGAGAGCGTGACCCTGGGAATGACAGCAGCCTCTCTGGACACCAGGTCACCATCCTGGAAGCCAGCGACCACGTCGGAGGTCGAGTGGTGACATTCAGGAATGAGAAGGAGGGCTGGTACCATGAACTGGGGCCCATGCGAATCCCAAAGTCCCACAGGTAAGTCTCAGGAAAGGGATGGAGCAAAAGGCAAGAAGGGAGATCAGGAGGAGGGCCCTGCTGCCACTGTGTCAGAGTCCTTTCAGATTCACTGTCTCATGCGATTCGGTCCTGCGGGTCAGTACTAACACTGGTGCCCCACTCGATAGAGGTGATCAAGGCGCAGAGCCCAGGGTCATGCAGAAAGTGGTAGATCTCAAACTACCAGCTATTATTATTATTATTATTATTATTATTATTATTAGATGGCATAATGTAGTATAATTGACCTGTAAAAGTAACAGCCCATATTTAAAGTACACAATTTGATGAGTTAATGGTAACTATTACCACAATTATCATTATGATATATTATATAATTATATATAATATATATAACTATAATGGTAACTATTATATATATAATTATATTATATATATTATATTATATATAATTTAATATATATTAAATTATGTAATATGATATAATAATAGTAATGGTAACTATTATCAAAATTATCATCATGATAGAGTAGTTACCATTAGCTCATCAAATTGTGTACTTTAAGTATGTGCTGTTACAGGTCAATTATATTACATTATGCTCTCAAATAATAATAATAATAGCTGCCATTTGTTGAACACTTACTATGTGCCCAGCCCTGTGCTAAGCACTCTATGTGCATTATTTCATTTGATCTTCACAACCCTATAATTTAATACTCTTATTTTTCTTATTTACAAATCAAGAAACTGGGCTCAGAGATATTAAGTGACTCATCCAAGATTCTTCTAGGAGAAAGTGACAAAGCTCCTCTTCAGAATCAAGCAGGCACCTGGCACAAAAGCATATGGTCAATCTCTAAAGCATAACTGACCCCTGGTTCTGGCGCTCCCAAGACAAAAACGATCCCTCACCCCGTGTCCCACATACTTCCAAAAATATGACTTCTTTTTTGCCTTAAGTGGAAACTGAACCCCAAGATTTCCCTCCAAACACAACCAAAAACTAAAACAAAAATTAATAGTACCATACCAAAGTAGGAGTCTTTAGATATGGCCTCAAACTTCCTTTAAGTGGAAAATGGAATGTCAAATACTGTCTGAAAGAAAACGTCTGTCTCTGTATTTGAGTTCTATACACTGGACCTCATTCAGCGATGGGTGAGCTCCCTACTCCCTCTCTCCCTCGGGGCAAAAACAGGAGGAAAAGCGGTAATGCCACAGCACGAGAAGGCAAAGTTAGAGATGAGGAAGCAGTTAGTCTGAGCTCCCCAGGCACTTAAAGAAACTGGTTTTCCTGGAAACGGTTTCTATAGTGAGGCCAGCAGGCATGAGGTGCCATTGAGATGGGTGCCATATGATGCCTCTATCTGCTCCAGGCTGGTCCACACCTATGTCAGGAAGCTGGGCCTGAAGCTGAACAAGTTCATCCAGTACGATGGCAACACCTGGTACCTCATCAACAGAAAACGCTACCGTGCCAGAGAGGTCAAGGCCAACCCAGAGCTCCTAGGCTACTCCACGAGCCCAAGAGAAAAGGGCAAGAACGCTATGACTCTCTTCTACCAGTCCATTGCCAAGGTGATTCCTGCCTCATCCATCCCAGGGTCGGGAGAGAACAGGGTCTGGCCAAAGGCCACCTGGCAAGTTAGTGAGTGGACCTGGGCCACCTGACTCCTGCCGGTACTCTTGTGATTGGTCTACCTTCTTTCTAACACCCCTAAGAATGTGGCCACCCCACCCCTAGTGCCCATCTCCATCTCTTCTCCCGCCCCTGTGTGGTCCAGTGGTCCATCGCTTGATTAGGCAGTGGAAAGAAAGGAAATCACTAGGTAATCCAATCCTTGGTAATGAGTCAGTCCTCCTAGACTACAGAGAATGTCTTCACCTTAAATTTTGGTCTCCAAAGGTCTTTAAATGAAGGAGAGATTTAGGGGGAAAGAGAACATTTAGGAGGTCCTGGAAGGGCCATTCCCCTCATCCTTCTATCTGCTCCCTCTTTGCCCCCATCCTCTTCAAAGGAGCATCCAGAGAACCCCGGAGTCCTGCCTCTGGCTCTATGGCTTTAATCTAAAGATGCTCCCCCTCCCTCCCCTCTGTAGCTCAAAAGAAGTTCGAAATTTTTCAACTGCAGCCATCTGATGTCCTTTTATGATTCTTACTCCACCAAGGTGAGTGAGGCAAAGTCCCAGGATAGGAGTGGAAGGGGGTCTATGCTCAGTCTAGCCCCTTGAGGTTGTCCCCTGCCTACCAGGACCCTCTCCTCCCAATGACCAAGGCTTCACCTCCCTGGAATCCAGTCCCACCCCCTTGCCTGCCCCAGGCTCCTGCTGAGGCTCCTTCCTACATACTGGGCCCTTTGTCTGGTGCTTCCACCTCCCCAAAGGCTTACCTGTTGAAGGAAGGGATGCTGAGCCAAGGAGCAATAAAGATGATCGGGGATGTGATGAATGAGGATGCTGGATACTACAAGTCCCTTCTGGAGTCCCTGCGGACTGACATGATCTTCAAAAGCAATGAGTAAGGCTGACCTGAACCAGGACTCGAATCTGCCCCCTCCTCCGACACTTAGGGCACAGAAAGAAAACTTTATTATTAAGTAGTTACTATGTGCCAGGCACTTTCCAAGGACTGTCGCATTTAATGCTATGATCACCTGGAAAGTAGCTACTGTAATTCAGCGCCATTTTACCAGTGAGAATGCTGAGGCTCAGAGAAGTCATGTAACTTACCCAGGTTCACTCAGCTCGGGCAAGGGCTGGAGCCACGATCTCAACCCAGGTCTGTAGGACTCCTCCTGGGATACAAAATTGCATGGTGGCTGAACCCATGGGCTTTGGAGCTACACTGTGTCATCATGGGAAAGTCCCTTTTCTCAGGATGTTTTCATTTTCCAAACTATAAAATCAAACAATAAGCCCTCTCTCACAGAGATTAAGTAAGGTGATGTATATGAAGTATCCAGCACAGGCTGCAGGAAGCTAGTTTTCTCCCTTCTCAGACTGGGATTGCTGCTGGCAACTCAGCAAGCTGACCTTGCACCTCCCACACTCACCCTCCCGCCTCTCTTCACCCCTGCAGCTTCTCTGAGATCACCGGTGGCTTTGACCAGCTCCCCAAAGCCCTCAGCGCCAGCTTGAAGCCTGGAACCATCCATCTGGGCTCCAAGGTGGAGATGGTAGTGAGGGATGGGCCCGAGGTCCAGATTTCCTACCGGGTGGGCAAGCCCAACTCAACACTGCACACCCTCACCGCAGACTTTGTCATCATCTCCACCTCGGCCAAGGCCACACGCCTCATCACCTTTGAGCCGCCGCTCTCCTGGGACAAGATGGACGCGCTCCGCTCAGTGCATTACACCAGTGCCACCAAGGTGGTTCTGGCCTGCAACGAGTCCTTCTGGGAGCGGGATGGCATCCAGGGCGGGGTCTCCATCACAGACCGGCCCTCACGCTACATTTACTACCCCAGCCACAGCCTTCCCAGTGGCAAGGGTGTCCTGCTGGCCTCCTACACCGTGGACGATGATTCCCTCTTCTTCATATCCATGAAGCAGGACCAGGTGGTGGACATCGTCCTGGAGGACCTGGCGGCTGTGCACCAGATCCCCAAGGAGGAGCTGAGGCGCATGTGCCCGTCCTCTGTGGTTAAGCACTGGTCTCTGGACCCCCTCATCATGGGCGCGTTCACAGAGTTCACACCCTATCAATTTGTGGACTATTCGCAGAAGCTCTTCCAGCCAGAGGGCCGCATCCACTTTGCTGGCGAGCACACTTGCCTGCCCCATGCCTGGATGGACACTGCCATCAAGTCTGGCCTCCGAGCAGCCAGGAACATCCAGGCTGCTGTGGACCAGGAGGCCACAGGGAGACAGACGACCTTTACCAATACCCAGAATCGTTTCTAACCCTGAGAGAAATCCCTTAGGGAATCTGGCAGAAAGCAGGCTGCATGTCCCCCTGGCCCACAAGCAGGAACCCAAAATACCAAAGAACCCAGGTGGTAAGTCCACAGGAAACATCACCCTCTCCCCTGCCTCTCTCCCCTGCCAGCCCTGGAGAAGGATCGGCAGAGTCGGGGTATTTGAAGGGATAAGGGGAAAAAATAAAGGATGGAGTGTGCCAGAATCAATCAGCCCTTAGCATGCACAGTAGTAACAAGAGGAAGAGAAATGTTCGACAACACCTGAATTCTGTCATCTACAACCAGAAGCCCCTAAAGAAACAGACAAACCCAAACCACAGCAATGTTAAACCAGAGATTGGCCACACGAACCCTCAGTGCAGCAACTCCCCATCACTGCATGCCTGAGCCAGGGGCCTCACACCTTGGCTCCACTGGAGTCTAGGTAGGTGGGGGAGATGAATTCTATTCTGCTTTTTTGAGCCTGCAAGAGTAGGCTCTTGGCTTTCTAGAGATCTGCTGGCCCATGGACTTTTCTTTCCACCTTCATCTCCTCATCGCCAGCCAAAACGCACCTCCCTGCCTCTGCCTGGCCAGTCCATCCATCCCCCTGGGAGGACACCAGGCTCATTCCACATGCTCCCTCCCCACTCTGTTCCTAACACCTGCTCTGTCCCTTCCAGGCCCAAGTGAAATTGTTCCCTCGCCCCAAATCCTTCCTTAATGGCCACACTCAAATGCCAGGCATCATTCTGCTTTGAGCCACACCCCTTCCTACCTAGTGTCCAAACATTTGGACTGTGGATCTTCTTGTGCTGTTATATAGTTACTACATGAGGGCCACTCCTGGGTATTTGGGTCCAAGTGGGCAAAAGGAATAAGTGAATGAAGTGGTAAACCCTCTCCCTGGAGAATATTTCCACCAGAAGGCCTCTGAAGACCTGCATGCTGAAACATGGGGTGCAATGTCCTGAGACTGGCACGTTTATAGGAGGAAGGGATATAGGAAGAAACCACACTTCTTACTGCATTTGGTCTATTGTCAAAACCCTACCCTACTTGATTCTGGTTTTCCATGCACCCATATAATAGGACTTTTTCTATTTCAAGAGCTAGAAATCAAACCCAAACTACCTTAAGGGAAAAGGAAATGTTTTGGCTCACATATCTGAAAAGTCCAGGGTGACGCTCACTTCACTCAGACTGACTGAGTTCAGGAATAGATAAATCATCATTAAGGTTCTCTCTCTTTCCACCTCTTGACTCTGTTTCCCTAAATTAGCTTCTATTTTGAGTTGAACGATGTCCTCAAAAGTTCATATCCACCCAAAACCTGTGAAGGCGACCTTATTTGAAACAGGGCTTTTGCAGATGTAATCAGGTTAAGATGAAGGTACACTGGAGGTGGGTGGGCCCTAATCCAACCACTGGTGTCCTGATAAGAGGGAAAGCTGAACACAGACCTAACACCGAGGGAAGAAAGCCATGTGAAGATGGAGGTAGATCGGAGTGATGTACCTACAAACCAAGGAATGCCAAGGACTGCCAGAAACCTCCAAAAGCTAGGAGGAGGCATGGAACAGACTCTCCCTCAGAGCTCCCAGAATGAACCAGCCCTGCTAACAATTTGCTTTTGAACGTCTAGCCTCTAGTACTACGAGAAAATAAATGTCTGCTCTTTTAAGCCATCTAATTTCATAGTAATTTGTTACAGCAGCCATAGGAAGCAGTTTCTTTCTTTCTTTTGGCAAAGAATACAGTTAGAAGTGACTCCAAAATTATATCTTTACAGGTTGCCATCCAAGAGAAAAGAAAGGGCTTCCTTCTCCCAGGGTATTCACATTTATATTTTTATGCTGCCCACCTACCTGCTTGGTCAGGGGTTCACCTCTCAGCCTAGAAAGTAGGTCTTGTGACTGGCAGCCCAGCCCAGCTGCCAGTGAAAGGAGAGAATGGGACAGTCTCTTAAGAAGAGTATGCTAAGCAGATAAAAACAACAGATGGACACTACAAAGTGCAGCGTCTCCGAGTTGGGCTACGGAATACAGCTAAGCCATTCCAGGGCTAGGCTAAACCAGCTCCCCGGGGGCTTCCACTGCAAGACGGTTCACCACCAACAGTCGTGATACACATGGTGAGCCTCCTGGAACCTGGCTCCATTAAGAGAGGAGTTGTTTTCTAAACTCCCTCCTGGATTGTTTATCTTTGGTAACCTCATTAGTGCCATGACAAAAGGCCCTGCTTTCTCGAGGCTCCCAGAAGAGAGAAGTAATCCTGACCCACAGGAGCCCAGGCAGAAATAGAAGCAGACGGCAGAACCAGGGGAAAGCAAGGTCCCTGAGGAAGAGCTCACATGAACGCCCTTGGCTTAGTGGAAGACTCTGAAGAAGCAAGTCAAGGAGGAGCACAGGCAAGAACAGGGCATCAGATCCGCTGGAAATAATGTCTCTTTGCCACCTCTGTCCATTGGATGTAGCAATGAGGCCCCAGGGGCTTGGAGTCAGCTGAGCAGAGAGGATGGAGCTGGGTGAGGGGATGGAGGGTGACAGCCAGACTCAACCTGTGGTTTGGAGGTACATGATTCAGCATTTGGATGGAAGTATTAGGCAGAAAATGAAAAGGTTCAGAGATGCCTTTTGTTGGAGACAGAGAGCTGCCACACAGGGTTCTTAATTACAAAAAACCAGAAACCAAATCTGAGTGACTTAAGTTGAAGAGGAATTTGAGGAAGAATATCAAGAAGCTCACGTAGTTGACAGGAACGCAAGTGGGCAGATGCCAGAGGAGACCTGTGACCTGAGCCACAGCCAAGCTCCTGCCACAGGAGCAGCCTGATAGATGGCAGCGTGGCCCCTGAGCACTGGTGTGGCCATTGGGACCACCACCACTGACCACAAGATGCTCCTACTGCTGCCAGAACTAATTCTCAACTGTCTACTGCTGTTTCACTTCTCCCATATGCCAAATCCCAGATGGGAGCATCCAGTTGGCTGAGTCTAGGTCAGTGCCCACTCCTGGCTGCAGGGTCACGGAAAGCAAGTAACCAACAATACTCTAGTTTTTGAGGTGGGAGGGGAGGTGCTGCCTTCCCTCAGACCTTACTGTGCTGCATTCCCCAGGCATAGGAAGTAGGTATTGATGCTGGTGGCCATAGGGCAGAAGTCAAGGTAACTCCCAAAGGGAAAGACAGGGTACAGATCACCTCTGCTACAAGAGCCACTGCATATCTCTAAGCCTCAGGACCTTAGCTGGACAATTAGGATAATACCCCACCATATCATGGCCGAAGGGATTTGAGATTATGTACAAAAGGCATGTAGAGATTGTGCATGCATAAAGCATGCAGAAAGTCTTTGCCCTCCTGTGCTCTGAGAGAAGAATTAGGGATGAGGACATCAAGGTTCAGTGGGACCGGGTGACTTGCTGAAGCTTTGACATCCAGGGAGAGAATTCACAGCCAGAGCTGCCTGAGTCAGAAGTCCAGCTCTTCCCACAGCACAATGCTGTTAGTCTAGTTAGAGAGAGGAATGACTGGCCTGAAAGAGATGGGGTAAAACTCAGACGAAGCAGACACTGAAGCAGGCGAGGTAGCAGGAGCTCCATGAAGACCAGGACGAGCATGGGCCAGAGCTGACCACATATCTCGGTAACACATTATCCCTACAAAGCCTCACTCTCTCGTTTCCGTTCTACATGCTTTCTTAAGAGGGTAAAGGAAAAAGGAGAGTTGTGGATCCTGAAACCAACAGCCTCTCTACAGATCTCTACTATGAATTTCAGTGAGGAGCCTTTTTCATCTTTCTCAAAATCTGGGAATGGCCATAGAAGGGTGAGTGCATAGAACAGTCATATGGAACACATGCCTTAACAAAAGCAGAAGCAGAAGCAGTTGAGAATGACTCCAATAACTGCCGAGAGGTAAAAGCATGCCCGTTCCTTCCCAAAATGTACCACCCACACAAAGCCACCTGAAGGTCTCACTCCAGGAATCCCAGACTGAAGCTTACTCTAGGGGCATGGAGAGCCTTGAGCAAACTTCACTTGGAGTGCCTGGGCGTGACATCTTTTCCTGCCCCCAGGGGTCTTCTTGGAATCCATCAAGGGGCAGGAAGAGAAGATCACGGAGTACATCAAGGACCAGGGGCCAGAGGTCAGAGCTCCAGGTTATGGAGCAAGGCTAGAACTTGGAGTTGGGCCCCTTTGAATGCTAAGAACCCACTCACAGGCCCCAGGAAAATGGGCAAGGCAGGAGGGGTGGAGAAGGAAGAGGAAGGGGACCCTGCCAGGAACAAAAACTCAGACCCTCTTCCCCTTCCTTTTCCAAGCATTTTGTATTCATCATTGATTGTTAATCTTCCTGCTTGACAGACAAGGAACTGAGGCTCTGAGAGGGAGGTCAACCCAGCATGCGTGAGAGCCACACTACATGGTAATAATAATAGCCGTCATCACTGAGTCTTACCGCAGTGTTGCGCTAGAACCGTACATTCATTTTCTAACTGAATCTCCATCAATAAAAAACAACTTCTGTGAAGTAGACACAATTATCATCTCTATTTTGCAAATGAAGAAATTGAGAACCAGAAAGCTTATTTTGTTTTAGCTTGAACAAACAGGATTCTCTAACTGGTGCCCTGCATGTCTATGCAAATTTAAATTTAACATGTAAATTAAACCAAAAGATCTCCCAGAAAAGGGAACCCTCCTATACTATTGGTGGGAATGTAATTTGGTGCAGCCACTATGGAGAACAGTAAGGAGATTCCTTTAAAAAACTAAAATTAAGGTTGCCATATGATCCAGCAATCTCACTCCTCGATATATATCTGGAGAAAATGAAAACTCTAATTTGAAAAGATACATCAAAATCTGAGAACCCCAATGTTCATAACAGCAGTATTTACAATAGCCAATAGCCAAGATATGGAAGCAACCTAAATGTCTATTGACAGATGAATGAATAAAGAAACTGTGGGATACACACATACACACACACATACAGAGTGGAATACCACTCAGCCATCAAAAAGAATGAAACAATGCCGTTTGCAGCAACATGAATGGACCTAGAGATTATGATATGAAGTGAAGCAAGTCAGATAAAGACAAATACCATATGATATCACTTACATGAGCAATCTAAAATATGATACA